GGCACTTCGGGACGACTGAAGATTTTCAGGCGATTGTCTTGCAACGGGGCACTTACTTTAGTGAACATGATTCCTTGTACGGCCCTACGAAGAGGCAGCTTGGATGGAGGGTTTGTTGCAGCACTGTTGATGCGGCTTGGGTTTGCACTGGTCCTCCTCCTGCCTCCCTCCTCCTCCTCCTCCTCCTCCTCCTCCTCCTCCTCCTCCTCCTCCTCCTCCTCCTCCTCCTCCCTCCCTCCCTCCCTCCCTCCCTCCCTCCCTCCTCCCTCCCTCCCTCCCTCCTCCCTCCCTCCCCTCCCTCCTACCTCCTCCTCCTCCGCCTCGACCCTCGAGCCCGCCCCTTGTCGCCCCTCTGGCGGGCGGGCACGCCGAGATGCACGCTCTCCGCGGCGGCGTGCAGCGCGGTGGCCTCGGCAGCCTCCGCGGCGGCGCCCGGCGCGGCGGCGAGCCCGTGGCGCTGCGCCGGCGCGCCGCGGGCACCGCGCCGCGCGGCGCGGCCGCCAGTGGGGCGTCGGCCCCAGCGGGGGCGGCCCCGGGCAAGCCGAAAGCGGATCTCGGCTCCTCCTCCTCCTCCTCCTCCTCCTCCTCCTCCGCCTCCGCCTCCTCCTCCTCCTTCTCCTCCTCCGCCTCCTCCTCCTCCTCATCCGCCTTCTCCTCCTCCGCATCCTCCTCCTCCCCCTCCCGCTCTGAAGCTCAGCACGTACCGTGCTCTCAGAACGTCCGTGCTGACACGCTGCGTGCTGGCTCGGCACGTGTTGGCCCACACCACGTCTTGGCGAACGCCTCGCGCCCAGCCTGCGAGTGCCGCCTGCGTGCTGAGCTCCGTGCCGACACGCTACACGCGCTGCGCGTGGCGTGTCGGGGCGGCCGGGCCGCACGAAATCCAGGGGGCGGGACCCAAACGGTGTGCGGACTGCACCGCGTGGTGAGCCCCTGGGGATTCGGGGTCCTCCTCCTCCTCCTCCTCCTCCTCCTCCTCCTCCTCCTCCTCCTTCACCGCGCGGTCTGGGGACTCGGGTAGTTCTCCGAGGGTCTCTCGGACGACGGGAGCCTCCAGTGTCACAGGACCGTGCGGTGACGGACCGCACGGTGAGGTCGTCGGGGGGTCCGAGGGCACACCACGCGGTCCGTCACCACACGGTTCTGGGGCCCCGAAGGAAGTGGTATTCCAGCGATCTCGCGGGCTCCTGGGCATCTTCACGTCTCGGGGTGCTGTCCGGCAGCTGCGCCTCGCCGAGAGCGTTACGGGACATCCGAACCCAGACATGTTCGCGCCCTGGAAAAAGTCAGGACGGGCGGTGTGTGGCTGTTTGGCAGTGTTGGGCCTCTGGGGGTCTTTACGAGGCCGCGGGACCGCCAAGAAACCACTCGGGCGAAAAGCTGTTGAGGGGGGAAGGGTCAGGAGTTCTGGGGACCTCGTATGGATAAAACCGGCCGTCGCATGTCTGGATAGGGGGTACTCAGCAGGGGAAGAACACACAGACACACAGCATCGTCGATCCCCAGGAGAGTATGGGAAAATATGCGAAGTGGGGGAAAGGCGAAGCTCCAGAAAGTATGGGAAAGCATGGGGGATCCTAGGATCTGTGCCTATAGGAAGTGGGAGGGGAAGACGAAGCTCCAGAAAATATGGGAAAGCATGGGGGGAAGACGAAGCTCCAGAAAATATGCGAAAGCATAGGGGAACCCTAGGATTAAGTCGGGCCTGTCTCTCTACACGGGGGAATATTCAGAAAGAATTCCAAAAATAGTCTGAGGAGTACGTGTTTGGGTATTTGTTTGGGCATCTGTTGAGTTGTTTTTTCTGCGTATTTCTCATTTTTCGTCCAATATCCCCCTGTAGAGGGGGGCAGGCCCGACCTAATCCTGGGAGGTGTGTCTCTTTCTTTGTGCGCGCGTCTCTGGGCCCCTCGGAGGTCTGCCCGCCTCGGGTGGGCTCTCCATTTAGGTGCGCCTCGCCGCGGCCAGGCGATCGCAGACAGAACGGGGAGGCCCGAGCCTCAAGCCACCCCCTCCCTCCTGCTGCAAGGGGGGTGGGGGGGAATTCTCCTCCTCGTCCTCCTCCTCCTCCGTCCTGCTCCTCTTCCTCCGTCCTCCTCCTCCTCCTCCTCCTCCTCCTCCTCCTCCTCCTCCTCCTCCTCCTCCTCCTCCCTCCTCCTCCCTCCTCCTCCTCCGTCCTCCTCCTCCTCCTCCTCATCATCATCATCATCAGCATCATCATCATCAGCAGCATCATCATCAAGCCACCCCCTCCCTCCTTCTGCAAGGGGGTCGGGGGGGCTTCCGAAGCTACCCCCCCCCTCCCCCGAGGGGCGCCCGCGAGGCCGGTCCACACCTCTGGGTACTAGCCCCCGTGGCGGCTGGAGCCCCTCACAAGCGCGAGGAGTGTGGGAAACGAACGAGGAGGAGGAGGAGGAGGAGGAGGAGGAGGAGGAGGAGGAGGGGTAGGGGAGGAGGGGAGAGGTGGAGAGAGAGAGGAGAGAGGAGAGAGGAGAGGAGAGAGAGAGGAAGGAGGAGGAGGATGAGGAGGAGAGGAGGAGGAGGAACGAGGGAGGAGGAGACAGGAGAGAGGAGAGAGGAATAGGAGGAGATGAGGTAGAGGAGGAGTAGGAGGAAGGATGAGGAGGAGGGAGGAGGAGAAGGAAAAGAGGAGGAACAGAGGAGGAGAGTAAGAGTAGTCGATGTCTCGGCTTGCGCTCGGCTTATCGAGGCTATTTACGGCTTCTCTAGTCTCTTCTACTTTGTCCTTCCATCTCTTTTTCTATTATCTTCTGCTTCTTGCCTTCGTCTCTTTCTTCTAATTCTTCTATTTCTTCTTCTTCGAATCATTCTTCGGCGTCCGCCTCCGGTAATGCGACCCTAATAGACCCCAAGGCCACCCGAAAAAGTGAATGTGTTTACTACCGAGCCAATCCATCCACCACCACCACCATCCACCTACCTCCTCCCCCTCCACCACCACCTCCATCCACCTCCGTCCTCCTACCTCTCTACCACTCTGGCCACCTCGCCACAACTGTGCCCCCCGTATACGTTGTTGGGCTTCCCCCCTTCCCCCCCGCGAGCGCAGACGACCCCTGCCTAGCCGCCGAGGCAAAATCTAGTTTTTCCTTGGAGAATGTTGGAGGCTCCTCTTCGTCGCCACGCCTGGGTTCCCATCGAGGTTCGGATCCAACGGAGCCCCAGACGGCTTTGGAGGCGGGCCCCCTCTGTCGGCTAGAAATTGCTGTTCCTGAATAAGTTGGGCGGTGTGCTTCCTCGATGTCGGCCTCTGAGGGCCCCGCGTCGAGGCCTGTGGAGCTAGGACGAGGATACATCCGTTGTTCCAGGGCGTCCCGGAACGCTCTCAGAGCGTTCCGGAAGGCTCTGAGAAGGCCGCGACGCCCGAGACATCCTCCAAAACCGCCGGATCCCAGAGATTCCCGAGTTCTCCTGACCCCATTTTATCCTCGTCCTGGTTTCGTCTTACGTTGTTGCATTTTCTTGTCTCCAGACATCGAATGTCTTGAAGAGAGAAACCAAGCTGGATGCTATTTGTAGATTCCGGCCTCCGGGCGCCTTCGCCTGGCTCCAGGATGGTCAAAGCATCACTCAGGATAAAAAGTTGACCATGTGGATATGTCCGGGACTTCTGGGACCCCTTATTGAAAAAATGCACGCTGATCGTTGAAAGTAGGTATTTCTGGATCCCCAGATCACAATCTATTGTAGGCGCCTTCCTACTTCAAGGGTCGAACGTTTTTCCCTCTTCCCTCGTCCTGAGTCGGAAGCTCAGTCTACTTTCCACGCCGTCCTGTTTCATCTTTCTACCCACTTCTTCCGACCGACGGGTAACCTGGCGAAGGACCCAACCATACGCAGGTGCGAGTGCCGCAGTCGAGAGTATCGTCTTCGGTAGAGCTCCTTGTGGGGCCGCGAAACGTGTGAGAGGTGTGCCAAAGTGGGATGGCGGCTGCATGCGGGCCCTGCCACTGGGGCCTTCGGCGGAGCACCTGATGGGGCCACGAAACCTGTGAGGGGAACGTCGAAACTGTATGCGGACCCTGCCGCTAGGGCCTTCGGTGGAGAACTTGATGGGGCCACGAAACGTGTGAGGGGAACGATGAAATGGAAGTGGAACTGCATGCGGGCCCTGCCTCTGGGGCCTTCGGTGGAGCACCGTATAGGGCCACAAAACGTGTGAGGGGTGTGCCGAAATGGAGGTGGAACTGCATGCGGATTCTGCCACTAGGGCGGGCCTTCGGTGGAGCACCCTATGGGGCCACGAAACGTGTGAGGGGAACGCCGAAATTGAAGTGGAGCTGCATTCGGATTCTGCCACTGGGACATTCGGTGGAGCACCTGATGGGGCCACGAAACGTGTGAGGGGTGCGCCGAAATGGAAGTGGAACTGAATGCGCCCGTGTGAGGACAATAAGAACATGCGGGGGGGGCAGAGGCAAGGGATGAGCGGAGGGAGGAGGGGGAGGAGGAGAGGAGCGGGACGAGGACCCAACACCACAGGATGGTTGGGAAAGACGCTGGATATCTGGGTTCCCCGATGTCCCTCACTTCCCCCACCAATCCATCAGTCCCCTCTAACAGCGGGGGCGACCCCGGGCAGCCGAAAGCAGAGCCGCTGGGGGCCAAATTTGTTGTTGGTGCTGGTCTTCCTCCTCCTCCTCCTCCTTCTCCTCCTCCTGTTCCTCCTCCTCCTTTTCCTCCGCCGTTCTCCTCCTCCTCCTCCTCCTCCTCCTCCTCCTCCTCCTCCTCCTCCTTCCCCCTCTCCTCCTCCGTCGTCCTCCCCTTACTGCTGCTGGTCCTCCTTGTCGTCCTCATCCTGCTCCCGCGTTCCCCTCCTCCTCCTCCTCCTCCTCCTCCTCCTCCTCCTCCTCCTCCTCCTGCTCCTCCTCCTCCTCCTCCTCATCATCATCATCCCCTGCTGCTTCTCTTCTCCTCCTCCTCCTCCTCCTCCTCCTCCTGCTCCTGCTCCTGCTCCTCCTCCTCCTCCTCCTCCTCCTCCTCCTCCTCCTCCTCCTCCTCCGCATCTTTCGCCGTAAGTGGGCAGGACGCTTCCGGAGGAGAGGGGCGGGACGAGGGCGCATCGGGGGCGAGGGATCCGTCCCGAGCTGCCGTGCAGGTCCTCGCTGCCGCTGGGGGCGCCGCCGGGGGAGCTCGGGGTGAAGAGAGCGAGCCACCATTCGAGCACGGCGGCGTGAAAGAGGGGTTGTGAGGCTGGGGGTTGTGTTAAGTCGGGCCTGTCCCCCTACAGGGGGGTTTTCGACGAAAAATAAAAAATACCCCAAAGATAGTCCAAACATACTCAGAAAATTGTCTGGGGACTACTTTTTGATTATGTTTTGACCTTTTTGGTGCATTTTTGTGGAATATTCTATTTTCGTCGAAAATCCCCTTGTATAGGGGACACGCCCGACATAAGGGTTGTGGTGAGATGGGGCGCTCGTTGCGAAAGACTCATTGGGACTCTCGTAGACTCCTCGGGGCCCCACCCAGAAGGCGCCCGAATCCTGCCCAGGTGCCGAGCCACGACTCCGGCACCGTGGCAAACGCTTCCATGGTTCGATGCATTCCCGGGCGGGGCCTTGCGACCCCGACGTGCCAACATCCATGTGGTCTGCGATGACTGCTAGATCGGATTCTTTTTCGACTGGAGACGGCACGAGGCAGGGTACGAATCTCATGAGAGGTCAAGTGCGACGCATCGATCTCTGCCGCTGCGCTGCCGGTCAGATACATGTCGCACGCATTGGTTGTTTCTTACGGCTGGACGCGTTTGGACGCGTCCCTTGTGTGTTATATCGCATTCGCCCATCCCCAATGAATATCAAACACATTCACTGCACACGCGTATTTCGACATGTTGCGCATCGCCTGCTCCTCCGCAGTCCTTAAAACGGTACGCCGTGTTCCCTACTTTTTGGGAATGACCCGTCGTTTATCAACCAAGTCGTGTTTGTCTTTGCGCGTTGCTCCCCCTTTTATGTACTCGTAGTTGATTCCTCACTGCATGCTCAATGTCGCACATTACAGGCTTGCTTACCACAGCCGCAGCCCACTCAACACCTGAGCTGTGTTGATATGTTCTATGTTGTCTATCCTCTTCACTATGTGTTCCTACTTCCTCGACGCTTACACACGATTCCACAGTATGCGTGCATATAGGAGCATCCGTTTCCGTTGCCCCTGGCTCATTGCCAGCGTTCGTCAGTTAACGCATTTTACATCATACTGCTTGGACCCTTGACAAGTGTACGATGTATGAAGAACGCGTTGCGTGGTCATACCGTGCTTCCCCCTTTCCCCATCCGATATCTTGCTCATTTTCTCATGGCACCATATGGGGCGTTCCAAAAACAGCCTTGCCCTCGAGGATCAAAGGATGTGTCATCCCTTCCGCGGCGGAAGGCGGCTGAAGGTCGACGGAAGAAAACGAGGCCGCCTCCGCCGGCGGAAGCCGGCGGAAGCTCGGCAGAAGGTGGCGGAAGTAAAAATTGCACCCCCAAGAAATGAAAACGTTTTTGGGCACAGGGCTTTCGGAATCGGACATCTGGCCATTATTCGCCAGCACGTATTGCAGGTGTGTGCCGCGTCGACACCGTGGCGGCCCCAGCGCGGACGCTCTTGAGGTTGACCGCCGCCGGTGGCCAGGCATCGGCCAACATTGGACGGTGTGCGCTGGCGGGAAGCCGCCGTCGCTCCAGGTGGAACGATCCACGAAGGGTCAGAAACCTCCTCGGCCTCCTCCTCATCCTCCCTCCTCCTCCTCCTCCTACTCCCTGCCTCCGCCCTCCTTTTTTTTTCCTCCCCCTTTTTCTTTTCCTTTTTTCCCTCCTCTCCTCCCTCCTCCGTACCCTCCTCCTCTCCCCTCCTCCTCCCTCCCTCCCTCACCTTCCTCCTCCTCCTGCCTTCTCACGCCTTCTCCTACTCCTCTAACCTCCTCTAACCTCCTTCCTCACCATGATCCTCCTCATCGCACCATTTGCCCTTCGCTCGGCTCGTGGCACGCAGGACCTTCAGTGGGGGGGGCAGTGCGTGCGGGGTTGCTTCGTGCCAGGAGCGGCCGCCTGCTCCTCGTTCCAGCCCGTGGAGGTGGAGAAGCCCCTCACGGACTACCGGCAGTTCCGAGCAGCGCGGCTGCACAACAACCTTCAGGTGACGAATTGTTCGCCAGGGAGGGAAAACTTGTCTTGGAGGAAGGGGGTCCTGGAGTTGATTCGCCGTCTTCGGCCTCCAGGAGCCCCCACGAGGCCCCGCGGCTGGCATAGATCGTTGAGGACGGAAAGTTGGTCCCAGGGGGGAGCCCTCGGGTCCCGAGTTCGGGGTTCGGGTGCTTATTCATTCGTACAGGAAAGGATTCGCCATGTCTTTTTCCCTACCTAGGCTCTGCCTAGAAGGGTTCTTACTCTCTAGCTTAAAGGGCCGGGCAGTGCAAAGCGCCCCGGGCGGTTCCCCTAGTCCCTTGGGAGCGGTTCCCCCAGTCCCCCGGGAGCTTTAGCTGTGGCTTTAGCTTTAGTTTTAGTGTTAGATTTAGCTTTAGCTTAGCTTTAGCTTAGCTTTAGCTTAGGTTTACCTTAGTTTTACCTTAGCTTTAGCTTAGCTTTAACTTAGCTTTACCTTAGTTTTATCTTAGCGTTACCTTAGCTTTAGCTTAGCATTAGCTTAGCTTCAGCTTAGATGTAGCTTAGGTTTACCTGAGTTGTCCCTTAGATTTAGCTTAGCTGTAGCTTAGATTTACCTTAGTTTTAACTTAGCTTCAGCTTAGCTTTAGCTTAGATTTAGCTTAGATTTAGCTTATATTTAGCTTAGCTTCAGCGTAGCTTTAGCTTAGCTTCAGCTTAGCTTCAGCTTAGCTTTAGCTTAGCTTTAGCTTAGGTTTAGCTTAGCTTTACTGTTACTACTAATGCTGCTTTCCTAGGGACTCTAACTCCTAGGTAGGGTCGCACTGGGATAATTTGTTTTTTTATTTACAGGAAGACTAAGAATCAATAATGAACACAATTATCCCAGTGCGACCCTACCTAGGAGTTAGAGTCCCTAGGAAAGCAGCATTAGTAGTAACAGTAACGCTAAGCTAAAGCTAAGCTAAAGCTAAGCCACAGCTAAGCTAAAGTTAAGCTAAAGCTAAGCTAAAGCTAAGCTAAAGCTAAGCTAAAGCTGAGCAACAGCTAAGCTAAAGCTAAGCTACAGCTAAGCTAAAGCTAAGCTAAAGCTAAGGGAAAGCTAAGGTGAACCTAAGCTAAAGCTAAGCTAAAGCTAAGCTACAGCTAAGCTAAAGCTAAGCTAAAGCTAAGCTAAACGCTAAGCGAAAAGCTAAGCGAAACGCTAAGGCAAACCTAAGCTAAAGCTAAGCTAAAGCTAAGCTAAAGCTAAAGCTCCCAGGGGACTGGGGGGAACCGCGGGGCGGGGACTGGGGGAACCGCCCGGGGCGCTTTGCACTGCCCGGCCCCTTTAAGCTAAGAGAGTAAGAACCCTTCTAGGCAGAGCCTAGGTAGGGAAAAAACACCATACAGCGAATGCATAGCCTGATACATCTCATGATGAAACAACAATACTGTCAATAAGCAATAAGATATAATTCAGGTGCTGATTGTGTCGGACGCGAAGTGCGACAAGGCGGCCGCTGCCCTGTCAGTAAAGGTGGGGTCTCTCTTCGATCCGAAGGAGATCCCAGGCCTGGCGCATTTCTGCGAGCACATGCTGTTCATGGGCACGGAGAAGTATCCCGTCGAGGATTGGCATCGTCAGACCTGCGGCAGGTTCGTGCTGCGTCCGCGCGGCGGCGACCCCAGCACGGGCATCCAGGGTTGAGCGCCGCTGGCGGTCCAGCACCGTCCGACATCGAACCATCTGCACTATCGGGGAGCCGCGATTGCCCAAGGCTGAATGACCCACATGAAGTCAGGAACCAACGCCGCAATCGTCGCGACACGAAGCCGCGGTATCCCCATCCCCAGTTGGCCGGGGCTGCTTAGCGCTACCAGCCTAACTCCCTCGAGGTGGGGACGGTTGCCACGAGTCCCAGCGGAGACGACGCCTGTCCCCACCTGGAAGGGGGCAGGTCGGGCAGTGTGCCCAAGGCCTTCCCAGGGGGGATGGGGATTGGTCTAACGATAATTACTGGGAGGACGAGTACAGCTCTTTCCTCGCCAAGAACGGCGGCTTCTCGAACGCCTACACCGCGGAGACCGTTACAAATTATTTCTTCGGCGTCAAACCCGAGTCCCTGGACGGTGCCTTGGACCGCTTCGCGCAGTTCTTCATCGCACCACTCTTCACCGAGTCCGCTACAGGTCGCGAGCTGCAGGCGGTGGACAGCGAGCACTCTAAGAATTTGCAGCAGGATGGCTGGAGGTTGAGTCAGCTTCTACGCAACTCCGTCGATCCAGCGCATCCGCTGAACCACTTCATGACTGGCAACAGCGAGACGTTGCGAGACGCACCTGCCAAGCTTGGCATCAGCGTGCGATCGGCGCTGCTGGACTTTCACAGACGCTACTACTCTGCGAATTTGATGTGCCTTGTCGTCGTCGGCAAGGAAGATCCAGAGGAGCTGCTAGGCATGGTGCAGTCGAAGTTTTCTACTGTCTTGGACCGGAGCGCAGTCGTTCCCAAGGATGCTGAGATCGGCGAAGGGGCTATAGCGTTTCCGCCCGAGCGCTTGGGCAGGATGGTTCACGTGGTGCCGGTGAGCGACATCCGGAGTGCCACCTTCCAGTTTGTGCTGCCAGGGCAGCGCCGGCACTGGCGCTCGAAGCCGGGGCTCTACATTGCTCACCTGGTCGGGCACGAGGGCAGAGGCTCTCTGCTGGCGGCCCTCAAGCAGAGAGGCCTGGCGACGGAGCTCCACGCCGGCAGCTCGCTGGAGGAGGCCGGCGTGCACATCTCGGGGGGCCGGACGGGGCGCCGTGTGGGCGGGGCCCGCCCTGCATCGGCGTGGGGCTATCTTGGGGAGCGCAAGCAGTATCAGTGAACACGCCGCCGTGGGGTGGGAGAGGGGGAGGGGAGGAGGAGGAGGGAGGAGGAGGAGGAGGAGGAAGGAGAAGGAGGAGGAGGCGGAGGAGGAGAGGAGAGGAGGAGGAGGAGGAGGAGGAGGAGGAGTGAGGAGGATGAGGGAGGAGGAGGAGGGAGGAGGAGGAGGGAGGAGGAGGAGGAGGAGACGGAGGAGGAGGACGGAGGAGGAGGCGGTAGGAGGAGAGGAGGCAGGGCTGAGGACGCGAGGAGGAAGGAGGAGGAGGGAGGAGAGGAGGAGGAGGAGGAGGACCGAAGGAGAGGGAAGCAGGAGGAGCGGGAGGCCGGGCGTGGGCCCTGCCATGGCGAGGCCAGAGCTGGGAGACCCCCCTCGAGCCACCAGCACAGTCCATCCCCTTCTGGCGACCCCGCTCCGACCTCTCCAGCCGCAATGCTCCTACTCATGCCCCCTTCTCCCCCTCCCCTTCCTCAATGCTCCCTCCAATCCCCTGTCCGCCCCCCGTCCGCTCCTCCCTACCCCCCTCCCTCCTCCCCCCTCAACTCCCCCTCAGCCTACTTTCTTCCTCCACATCTTCCTCCTCCTCTCCAGTCCTCCCTTCCCTCCTCCCATATCTGTTCCTCCTCCTCCTCCTCCTCCCTCCCTCCCTCCCTCCCTCCCTCCCTCCTCCTGCCTCCTCCCGCTCCTCCGCCCCGGCGCCCGAGGAGGGGCCCTGGGAGCCGAAGCTTCGAGACGGGGGTCGGTGCAGACGGGGGTCAGCCAGAGCGCAGGCTCCTGCAGGATCCTGCGGCGCCAGGGTCGCACTGACCCGGGCTTGGGCGCAGGATCCTGCAGGATCCTTCGCACTGACCCGGGTTTGGGTGCAGGCTCCTGCAGGATTTTGCAGGCCTGATCGACCCGGGTCTGGATTGACCCAGGTCAGAAGATCCCCGACCTGGGAGCTGAAGCCGAGGAAAGACCGCCGGTCGGAACAAAAAGAAAACATGACGTCGGAGATTTGGGTGGACCCCTCTGCAGACGGCATCCTCTCCCGGACGCCCCGAAAATCTTCTCGGTCAACGTCATGCTGACCGAGGCGGGCGCGGCAGACGTCGGGTCCGTGGGGGACCTGCTCTTC